ACTGTGAGGCTGTGTAGCTGTGAGAAGAATCATAAATGCGTTTGAAGCACTCGGATTCCATAGAAACAAACAGGGAGGGATTAGAAGCCGTGTGCTGGAAGCGGGGCTGTACTGATGGGAACGTTAGAGAAGTCAGCAGCTCTTCGGTGAGTAGACTGAATCAAGTGACACCCAGTTTCTCATCTGCCCCTTGAGTTGTGGGGAGGAACGACAACCAGGGCTCTTTGTTAAAATAGTTTGTGATCATTAATATTAAAAAGGATAATACCAGGATATGTGCAGTGAGATGGGGCTTATTCACTGTAGAGTTTGTCTGCTTCTGAAGGTTTTGTTTTATGACCATAACTTTATGACTGTCTTTTAAAACTTTTTAGGTATGTATATCCACAGATAACCTGTAAGATATACTGTGTGTATGAGGAAAGCATTGTTTTGTTCCTATTTATCATTGCTGTGGTTTATTTTAACAGATCATTTCTGATCCTAGACTTCGTGTTGAGCTAGCTCTTCGAGAAGCTGGACTTCATAAAACACTTTATGCAAAAGAGATTTTACCAAAAATTCCTCCACTGAAGCTTCCAAGAAGAGATATGGAGTCTACAGCTTTTAAAACGTAGAGCACCTCTCCTGTCAGGAGCGGAGAAGCTGCAGGGGTATTGTCTGGCCTGTAATGTGAAAACTTTAAATAAATTTCCCTTAGGCTGTGTCACAGAACTGCTTAGTTCTCAGTGTGTGCAGTCATTCAAAAAGACAGGGTGCCTTTCTCATGCAGCGCCACACCGTTTTACAGCTGCCTTGGTGCAGGGTTTGGAGGTCTGGTGGGTGGAGGCTGTTGTAGCGTAATTTCCCACGTCCCTTTCTACTGAGAGACGGGACACCGGGACACGAACCACTCCTACAGGCGTTACGGGGCAGTCTGATATGTAGTGTCCGGAGTAGAAACTCTGGTTTTTAATTGGCAGCATAAATCCAAAATAGTTTTGCAGAACAGTCACTTTAGATTATATGATGATACACGAATTCATCCCACAACTTTCATTGCAGGTTGCTTGAGAACTTGATTCTTTTAGTTATAAAATCCCCATTATCATGAATGTTTCTATTATTCCTTTATTATAAGAAGCAGAAACTTAACCTTTGTCTATATTTAGAAACCAATTTGCTGCATCATATTTATTGCAAACCAGTCATGCAATTTCATATTGCAGATTAGTCTTTCAGTATAAATTATAAATTAGAAATAACATTTCAGATCCGGGATCGTTATTTTGGAGCAGAAACTACTGAATATCTAATAAGATGAGTGTAAAATGTATGTAAGCAGGTTACAATTAGCAGTTGAACCAAAAATTTCTAAAGGTGATGAATATCAGAAAGATCTGAACATCCATACTTATGTATCTAGATAATTATAGGAACTTCATTACTCTAATACTGTAATGCCTTATAGGTATTAACGGATCACATACCTACAATGCCCTGTGGAGCAGGCAGTAATTCCTCACTGTCAAAAGGAGGAACTGAGGATGAGGGTAGATGAGGGCCCTGTCCGTCTGCTCCCAGCGGAGCCCACGGTGCGGGTCCAGCAAACACCACGGGAGAGGTTTTGCTGCTGGCCGCTCTGTGCCACCACCGGCCCTCTTCTCCTGACATGCTCCGCGACTCTGCACCCAATGTTTTGCAATCGGAGATGAGCAATGTGAAGTTTTCACCCCTCAAACGGACCCTAACATTGGCAGAACCTCGTAGCGTAAGCCTGATCTCGGCGGGGGTCTGAGCCCCTGGGCAGGGGGTGTGCTCTGGCCTAGGGGCTCAAGGGCAAAGTCGAAGCAGACGGAGACGCTGAGAAGGGTGCCAGGAAGGCAGGGGGAGAGCTGGTGCGGCAGGGTCCCGCCAGCAAGCCCGGAGCAGCGTAACCCCGAGTTACTTTAATGGGGGGAGGAATGCTACAGAGACTGCTCAAAAGCCGTGGGAGCTCTATGTCTTCTGGATTTAGCTTTTGCGTGTTTGTGCTAAAATTACAATTCTGTGTATATTTGTGTATTTTATTTTGGTATCTCACTTGGGGTAACGCATTATTTTTAAAACAGACTTGGCCAGCTTCACGACTTGCCGGATGTTCCTGCAGAGGAGACCAGCATTGCTTCTCTTCTCTTTTGCAGACCAGACTGGCTTCTAGACTGCTTCCCAGAAACAGAACATCCCAAACTTAAGGCAGTTGATTTTTTTTCTTGCCTTTAAAAGCAGATCTACGAGATAATTTCAGTGGTGCAAAATCTTTTCAGATTATAGTTGTCTTGTCATCTTTTATAAATTTATGACATTTATGAAAAAAGAAATTTTAATTGGAGCAGTCATTGTTGAAATAAAGGATCCTGATTTTTAGGCAGTGTCTTATGATTGTCTTCACATCTGTTGTTTCTCGAGGAGTAGACGATGAGCCTGTGCCAGCTGACTGCAGCCGTGAGTCGGGGCTTGTTATTGATGCAGTGAGGCCAGAATGAGGATTTTGAGAGGGATTTTCCAGTAACAGCGGAGCATGGAAAACATGCAGGTCAGTGAAGCTGCCGTCAGGCATTTTGCTGAGCACAAGCAGAGGCGGCTCTTGCCAGGAGAGCTCCTGCAGACTGCCCGGCCGCTCTCCCACGCCTGGCCAAGCGCCTCTTCCATGCTCCTGCAGGAAGGAGGTAGATGTTTCGCCTTACTTCGTCATCCTCACCTTAGCACTGTTCCGAAAGATGATCCAAACCCATCAGGAAATGGGGATGCTTGTTGAGGACTTGAATTTTCATGGTAAATGCTTTCTACACTTTTTAAAAAAAATGAAATTTTGCAAGTTATTTTTGTACAAAGTTGTATGAAATTACTTGCACATAAAAATAGTAATTTAGAAGATGTTAATGGGAAATAGACTTCTCAACCCGCATCTCTTGCAGCCCTACTTTGTTGTTGTTGATTTGGTAAGGGTAACAGTTCAGAACTCGGCCATCTTCGATGCCACTGTGTGAAGTGTATGCAGTCTGACTAACAATCTGATTTTTTTTAAGCCTGAGAAAAACTTCTTAATGAAAATTAAGTTAATTATTTTCAAGATATGCTACTTATCTGTGAACTTTGGTAGTCAGAAAAGTGGCTTAAATGTTAAATAGTGCCTGAAAGTCAAGTATCCAGCTGCTGCAAGATCAGCTGGTGCGGTATCCAGCTGTTGCAAAACACTTCAAGTTTGTGCGAATTTATATGCACATAAGCTTATATGCACATTTATGTGTGTATTTATAGAAAAACGTAAGCAATTGCGATGCCAGTTCTGACCCCTGTGAGAACAGAGAGGGCTTTGCAGTACTGGTCAGTATTTTGAAAAGCAGCTCACCAAGGACATGTTCTGAGCTCTGTGAACTACTGACTCATCTGAAACCCTTAAGGAGTGTCAAACTTAGAATGTGCAGCAGAAAAAACATTTAAAAACATAACCATCAAGCTAAAAGCAAAATAAGACATACAAGATTCTCTTCACTGGTCAGTGTTCTAGAAAATAGAGTTCACTATCTCCTGCAAAGGTAATGACCAGGGCTGTGGTTCTGTAAGCTACGGCAGAGCAAACCTCACCTGTGAAATGAGGCTAAATGTTCAAGTATTTCTTTTCCTAGAGTGGTTTTAAATTATTTTCACAAAGAACTGAAGGTACCTGTTGCTATTAGCATAGACGTTTCCTAAGTGGACTTTGGACCTGGCAGAACTGAGTCAGACTGGCAGGTTAGATTGCAGGTTAGGGGACTGGAGTGATTTTGTTTCCCTTCTGGGAGAACGCTGACTCCTGTCCTGGGATTCCTCCCCCGACCGATTAATATTGGAGCCTAAAAACTGCAATCTCGGAATGGAAACTAGGAACCAATCTCCTTTTCTTGTAAAAAGTAGTTTGCTTTTTCGTGGCAGCGCACAATGTATCCCAGATCGAAGTGCTGGTAGGTTGTTGGAGTAGCTCGGGGGGACTGTGAAAGTGGGGCCCCAGCACCGGGGCAGCCTGTTTGGGCAGCCCCCCACACGGCCCCGCTCCGCCACCTCCCTGGGGCCCAGAAACGAACTGCTGTGGACGGGAGGAGGTGGTGTGACGACGGGTGGTGGGGGGACGGGAGGGACACCAAGAGAACTCTGCCCGTTTGGGAGGCAAATGGAGCTGTACGCACGAGTGGAAATATTTCCGGGACTAGAGGGCCCCGAGGTTGCTGATGAAGCAGATTTTAGGATGCTGACTAGAGAACGCGTACCTCGGGGATGGCCCCTCGGCACCTCTGTATCTTCAGGCTTACACATTTTGTGCTCTTAATATCGTTAATATCTTAAGGTCCTCTCCCATGTTTTTTGATATTTTGTTAGAATTTTATTTACCAGAACTGTTAAATCCTGTAAGTTATTGTTCCAAAGGTGTCAAAATTCCTTTGGAAGCAAGCTCGTTAGTGAACCTGATGACCTGGAAGTGATTTCGGTGGGAAATTCTTCCGGCTGCAGGTGACTCTCCGTGACAAACCCCTCCACTCAGCCCCGGCACAGTTTAGTCTCTTACAGCTTGTGGAGACAATTTAAGGTGATTTTCTGGATTGTTGATGGGTGTTGATTGGCAGATGAATGTGAGAGATGCAGTCCCTGGCGGTTACCTGAAGTTGGGTCAGGGTTATATCAGTGAGGTGTGCTCCCCACGCCTGTCCCGCTCGGGGGTCCCCGTGTGCGACAGGCGCGACGCTGCTCCTGCGCGGCCGGGACAGTCTGCGCGAGGTGGGCTTCCCATGCACCCACCTCCGCTCAGACACTCCGGTACGCCGCGGGTTTTGGCAGATCTCCAAGTATTGTGTGAATGACAGTCTGAACGGCCTTTGTAACCGCAATGAGTAACAATAATGGTCACAAATGCAGATTAATTTTGCATGTCATTTACTTAGGGTTTGCCTTTATGCCAAATGCAAAGTGATCTCCTTCCTAGAGGATGGCTGTGGACAGGAGGGACCCTAACGGGACAGTCCTTTGCGACCACTGAAGACAAGAGTGAGGAGCATGCTGTTTGGTAACACAGTCTTGACTTCTGTGCAAATTTTGCCTGGAGCTCTCCTTGGGTGTGCAAGAGTGTCGGTGCAATTCAAGCCGTATTGGAGGTCCGCAGCTCCTGCGTGGCAGTGTTTGCTGGATCCAGCTACGCGGCTCGGCCATGGAGGGCACTCGCCCGTGGGAGTGCGGTGTGACCGTCTCTCTTTTCTGTTTCCCAGAGAGAGGGGCCGCGGTGTGTTGGCGTGTGTCGGCGTGGGTCGGTCCTGCACACCCGCTCCCAGCGCGGCAGCACACACCCGCACCGCGCCGCCTGAGACCCGGCGACCCGCTGCCGGTGCGGCATCGTCCATCCGTGGTACTCCCGCAGCACCTCGCGGGGCGCCCGGATCTGGTCCCCCTCCAGGCGGTCCAGGAGCGCCACGCAGACGACGGCGGCTGCAGGACGGCCAAAGCGCTGCGTTACCTCGTGCGTGACAGCAGGCACCCGCCGCCTTAGCGCTGCCCCGTGGGGACAGGGGAGGCCCTGCCCTCCCTGGGGCCCCTAGGGACGCTCCCCCACACCCCGAGGGGCCGAGGTGGCAGGACTGCAGGCGTCCACCCCTTGCCACATCCCTTTTCCAGCGAAACGGGAAAGGCAGCTACAGCGGGACGGGCAGGACTTGTGATAAGGCTGGGAGAGGGATGAGGGGGGATTAAGTTTTGTGTTGTCCAACATGCGCTCAGGCCTCTTAAAACAAACTTGGGTTTTATTGAGTCACAAAATTTGTTTTGGTGTGCTCTTCTAGTGAAATTGTTAGGAATGCCTTTGTGGCCTTCGGGTTGTCTGAATCTTCCACCAAACCAAACCCTGGGCTGGGGTGACGCCAGCGAGCACGGGGCTGCGGGAAGGACGCAGAAGCGGCCGCGGGAGGACTCACCTTTCAGGCCACACAGCCTGCACAGGGCAGCGAATGCCGTAGACTCCATTTCAATGTTCCTCACGCCGGCATTATAAGCTCTTTTTAAGTACTGCAACTTTTTTTCACTGGAAAAAGAGCACAGTGCTCCGTCTAATCTCCCCTGACCTTGGAAGGAAGCAGAGAAGTGTCACTGCTGGCACTGCCAGGGTGGCGTTTCCAATGGAAAGTCCAGCAGTGCCTACGTTTGCCTGAAGCTGACTAAGTTTTCCTTTGAATAGTTTCTTAATTGGTATTAACCTCTGCGTTTAAAGCCAGTGCGCTCTGTCTCTGTACAGAGGAGAAAATTAGGCAGGCTTTAACATTTGTAAAAAGTCCAGGTGACTGCAGAGGCAAGTCACCGCAGCTCCTCTGAGATCTGTGGCACATGTGAAGGTCTGCCAGGTTAAATCCAAAAATGCCAACTTACTGTGGAGCAGGGGCATAGCAAGCTGCGCAGAACAGGAAAATTGGGGAGAGGAACCCCCCCTTAATTTAGGTTTATTTTTAGTTAAGGGGCTGCCATGGATGGCAGGCAGCTGGGGCTGCTCACCAGCGGCGTTCCCAGCGCGAGTGGCACTGGTGCCGGCCGGGGAGCTGAGTCCCGGGGCACTGCCACCGGCGCTGGTGCTCCCTCCCACTCCCACCGCAGCCCCGAGCATCGCCGCAGGCAGGACCCAACACCGTGCTCGGTGCATCCAGGCGCGGGCACCCATCCCAACCTTCTCCTCTAACTCCACGGGTGGCTTTGGCTGTCCTGCAGCCCCACCGGGGCCCACAGAGTGGACCTGTGCCCGGGGCAGCTACTCCTCTCACGCACTCTGTGCAGTTCTTTGTGCCAGCAAAAGGTGTACCTGCGGCTGAGCTAACCTGGGCAGAGGGCTTCACTGAGTTGCTGTTCCTACTGCTAATCCTCTCAAATGGCTTTTTGTTTAAATAAAACATGGCCTTGAGCAACACACAGATGGTCGCATTTGCAAGCAGATCCAAAGGTTTATAAATAGGCATCAGATTATTAATTCTTCATTTATTACATTTCATCTACTCTGTAATCAGCATTTAATTTTGCAAAGGAAAGGGTTCCAGAGTAACCAAAGTTTGTTTGCGTAAATGTCACGTGCTTCCTGACATTTTTCTAGTGTTTGGTAGTTCTGAAGTTACAGTCTTGTTGTAGGACGCAATTCAGCGTCACCCATCTGCTGGGCTCGCTACAAGATTGTGGGCGAGGGGCTGTTTTCTTTGCTGGGGTGCAGCCACCGGCCTCCTGCTTTTGGGGGTTCTGTGGCCGTGCGTGGCTGCCACGTAACGGCTGGACTGGAGTGCAGCAGAGGTCCCCATGGCACCTGCATTGTCCCAGGGAGCAACCGCTGCTGCGTGCGTCTTCGCTCTTGATCCACCACCAGCTACAGCAGCGCTGGCCTTGCAGGTGACATTACAAAGCTTAACTATCAGATGCTCAAGAGACCAGTTAGCAGAGGAGGACTCGCCCTGGCAAAGTGCCGAAATTGGTGTTGCGTGCTCTGAAGGTGTACCCTGCTCTGACCTCTGAACAAGCTCTAACATATCAGGTGGGTCTGCTCCTGCAGCCCTTCTTAGGCTTTGGTAGTGTGGATAGTTTTGTCTACATAAGAACGTAAAGACTTGGCATTATGTTTGGGGGGAGGAAGGACAGTCAAAGATCGTTTTACCTTCATAGAAGTCATAGGTGCACATGGTATGGCCAACGAGGGTGGGAAAGTCAGGAATCTCCTTGCTGCAGGCAAGTAGTTCCTCCACAAGGTCCTTGTCCAGCTCAGTGCTCCGCACCACCACGTCATCCAGCACCACCTGCTCGAACCGTGGCTTGAAGGAGGAGTCCACCGCCGTGTCCGTGATCACAACAGACCCAGCCTCGATCCCTGCGAAAACAAAGGCTGAGGCTAAGCCAGAGCTCATAACACTTGTGACCTGCTGCAAAACTTCAGCACGACAGGAAAATCTCTACAGATGTATGTGCGACAGTGGGGCGGTTCTTTTTACTGAGTAAAACAGATGTGAGAGAATAACTGAAATTCATGCAGTGGCACAGATGTGCAAGTAAAATGCACAGAATCAGCACATGACGAGTGATTGTGGGAATGTGCTGAGCGACAGTGTTTTAATTGCTTCTGGCTTGCAGAGATCGTGCCCCGCCACCAGCTTGTGCAGGCGCCAGCAGCACCACTGCCCCCGCCGGGGTCGCGCCACTGCGGAGGACTGCGGGCACTGGGACAGCTGGGAGGATCTCAAAGCACGAGAGTGACTTCCAGTCCAGTGTTTTCTGTTTGGAAAGTGATACCCAGTAGTGAATTCGAGGCCTCTGTTCCTTGTGAAAATGTGCACTCTGCTAAGCCAATTGCTAGAAGTTTGCTGGGTTTTAACCCAGACCAAAATATGATGTTGTTGATACTTGGGGACCTGACAAAATGCTAAAGCTCATAATTACATCACCTGTTGCTGAGAACTTTTTTATTAATAGCTTTTTTTGCTCAGAAAGACCATGGACAGCTTACCTAAGCCTCCAGAAGTACCGATGCGTATAATAGTTACGTCTCGGCATTTTGCGTGGTGCAGCAGTTTGATTAGTTCGTGAAGCATGATGGAAATGGAAGGGATTCCCATCCCGTGCTGTTAGGAGGAGAGAAAAGAAAAACGTCATTCCTTGTGATGCTGCGGCAGGTGACAAGTACGTGACTGCAACGAGCTCAGGGTTACGCTGTGGCCTCTTTCCACTGAGGTGGCCAACAGCAATTTTTTGAGGGGGGGAGAGACATCTCAGGGTCTTTGTAGCTTGTCCAGGCAAAGTGTCTAACCCTCTTCTCCTCCCCTTGGTGCTGTTAAGGCTTTTCAGTAGAGCTGGAGTTCATCCCTGGGGACCAGTACATCAGGCACACAGATGGTGTGTCTCCTTCAAGAAAGGTCTCTCCACAAATGCGTCCCGACAGCCGAATGCTCCAAGAGCTTCCCCTTGTGCTGCCCATCCTTAGGCCACGTGCTGACTTCCATTCTTTGTTGTGTCCCGCTCGTACTCTTGGAGTGGTGAATGTCAGAGAGGACAACCTGAGCCTCCGCTTCTCCGGGCACCTCCCAGCCCGTCCTTGCCCCACGCCGGAGCACCTCTGGCTGTGTTGGTGGGCGCGAAGGATGACTGATGGGTTTGTGCCCCTCCGTGAGGACTGGTTTTGGGCTGAGGCGTTTGCCGCACGAAGGCTTGCGCCTTGCAGGCCGCCTGTCCTGCTTCCTGGCTCACATCACCCACTCCGGTGTCTCCATCCCCAGCCCGGCTGCCTGCAGGCTCTCCCCTCCACTGGCACCGGCCCGTTCCCCGTCCTCTGCCGTGGCACATGGTGCCTTCCTGCCCCGTCTCCGCTGCCGCTCCTCTGGGCCGACAGATGTTCTGCAAATCTCGAGCTGTCGAGGCTCTCTCTGCCTTCTGCCCGGCACTCCCCCACACGATCATCTCTGTTTTCTGCTCCATCGCTCGACTGCCGTCCTTTTCTTGGCTTTACTTTTAGAAACAAAAGGCGTTTGGTGGTTTGGGGTTCTTTTTTTCCCCATGAAAATTCCTCATGTTTTTTTGTTTCTGCTATCATGTTCAAAAACCTGAAGGAAGCGTATGTAAAGAAGCACAGTTAATTTAACATATGCAGTCAGTTTTCCTGTTGCTTTGTCTCTTTTCATTTGGCTGTGAGACCGATGGTCTATTAGGCTTGTATCATGTTTTAAATATGAAAACATTTTGCGTGTTGTTTTTCTGGAACATCAGCCTGACTTATTTGCCAATGCCTAAAAAATTTATTCTCATTGTAAATATTCAAAGCAGGAAACTGTGTTCCTGCCTCCGGTATGTTTGCGTTCATTTGTGTTTCTAAGCAACTTGCAGAAATGTGATGTTGGCAGCGGCGCTGCATCAAGCGTTTTGAGGCGGTGCGCTGCGAGCTCTGCCCTGCGTCCCCTCGCAGGGACAAGCCCGGGGGTCGATGGCTTCTGCATTGGTGCAAAACTGGTGCACGGCCCAGAGCTCAGCGTCGGCTTTTCTTCCAGCTGTGTCACAACTGCTGCCAGAATGGGGAGCAGCAAAATTTGCGGGTTTTTTCCCCTTGGATCCTGTCAGATCAATTCCCTCAGGCTTTTCCGCCGGTCAGGTTTGGTTTGGTTTGGTTTTGTCAGAGGGACCAAACGTGAGCTCTGTGGTGTGAGTGACGCTGTGAATCAGATTTAAGACTGATCTTGTGCCTGAAGAACTGACGGCAGGACCAAACCTTGGGGTGTGAGCGCTCACCAGCACAGCCTGTATTTGCTTTTCCCTTTGTGCAGTGCCCAACATACTGATGCTCTTAAAGAATAATTAATAATAAAGCAAGGTTTTCACTTTAGAGCTCAATGTAATACTTCCAGCAATATTTCATAGTTCAAGTGTGGTGGGAAGTGGTCTGTGCCTCTCAAATGGCCACACTGCTGAGCTGAGCAAAACACGCGCGCGTTCATTTTTGATACCATGTTTTTAAACTGAACATGTCGGGTGCTAAGAAAGATCATCCAGACAGAAGAGGCTTTACCTTGGCTGAAAGGCTGCACTGGTGGTAGTGGCTGAAAACTGAAAAGAGGAAAAAAAAATCTGCCAGTGGGTATTGTGGGAGGCGAAGGTGTGGAAGGGAGCGCTGGCGTTGGCCACCCTCCCTGCCTCCGGGGCGACGGGCCCCCGCGCCAGCGCAGAGCGGGACCCCGCCGGCAGCAGCAGAACCCGGGGCAGGGGCTGCGTGAGTGCCCGGGATGGCAAATGCGTGTGGTGCGGTACTTACACTGATGGAGAGCACCGGCCCAGCCCGGTACATGGCGTACCGGTCCGTCCCCGCGCAGATGTCTGCCAGGTCCTCCCCATCGCCCGCCAGTCCCAGCTGCTTGTGCATGAACTGGGCAAATGCCCTCATCCTGTTTGGGCTGCCGCCAACGCAGACAAACTGAGTGCAAAATATGAACATGTTGGTACTTTTTAGCTAAAATAGGTACCAAGATTCAGTCTTGATGTGGCAGTGGTGGGCTGCACTGGGCACATCTCCCTGGAGAGCGCAGCGGGACGCCGCTTCCTCGCAGGCAGTCAAGGGACATCAGAACAACTGAGGGTCTCAAAACCAGGAGTTAGCATTAAAACCAAGCTGTTACTCTGTTTAGGATTGTGACTAGAGTGGGTCCAGACAGCTGTACAGCTGCGCATACTTGGGTAGCAGTCCCAGGCCAAGAAAATCTAAAATAATTTTACTGTAATACATTCAGCAAATTCAAGCTGTTAGTATTCCTACTGACAGCAAAGCAAAACCAGATGTTAGAGTAGCTTGTCGCTTAATTTATTCTATCAACAGTGCCAACTGCAATTAGTGAGCACTGCTGATGACACAGAGGCCTGAAAGTCAGGGAAGAAAAAGGACAAATTTTACATATTAAAGAAAAAAATGCTCCCTGAATGTGTCCCTGAACGTAGGAGGGGGACCAGCATGCGGCTGCAAGGGCAGCGGTGCTGATCCGGCGGGCAGCAGCGCAGGGGAGCGGGAGCCCGCGCATGGCAGGGCTGTGCTGGGCTGCTGTGGCCCCGGGGCACCGTGGCTCTTCCCCGGAGCTGCTGGGGAAATGCTCTGCTCTAAAATGGAGGAGGATGTGGTCGCGACAGGCTGGTTTTGACAGCAGTTCTCGGCCAAAAACAGGACATCCTCTTCCCTGTCTCCAGTAGATGATGATCAGATGCTTTGGACAAATGCTTCCTCCGTCTGTCCTCCAGCATGGGGGCCAGTGTAAAATCAGGTTTTATGGAACTACAGGTTTTTAAAAGGATAATTTTCTATTGGGATTTCTGCCCGAAACAAGCGAGGACGGATGACCGCCCTGCCCGGGCTGCCCCGGGTCACTGAGTCCCTTCACCGAGCAGCCGGACCCCATTCCCGGCGGCAGCATCCGCAGCAGCGGGGCCCAGCGTGGGCCGGCAGAGCTGCAGGACCAGGGGCTGGCGAGCCCTGCGGGGCTGGGGGCTGCCGCCTCGCTGTCGCGCCTGCTGGTTACCTTTATGTCCCCAAACATTGCCGGCAGGTTGTGCGTCTTCGTTCCCAAGTCCAGGTGATAGAGAACATCCTCCTCCATCGAGTCCAAGTGCGGGTTTTTAATGTGGACAAGGCCACCGCTGCGGGGAGACAGGCGGGTGAGGGTGGGTCAGGGGCACCGGGCAGTGCCCGCAGGAACGGGGACGGGGCGGGACGGGCATGGGGTGGCCTGGGGGCCCCGTGGGGGGCACACACGGCCCTGGTGTCGGAGGAGGGATGGGGACGAGCCAGCTCTGCGTGGTGCCAAGGACGTCTGCCTTTCTGTCAGAGCCCTGCTGTCACACGAGCTGTCCTCCTCCTCCTCACACCCATCGCTATTGGTAACCTCTTTGACACCTCTTTTATTATGTCTATTTGGCAAAAAATGTTTCTTAATATTTATCATCAATTTTGTCAATGGCAACCTTAGCTCTTTCATATAATTATGCCAGAAATATCTAGTGGGTAATGTACTGTGCTATTTTGTATGTGACAGCTTATTAAGCTCTTAGCAAATCAGGATTTTATATTTATATTGTCCCAAATAACTGCCTAGCAGTGCAAGTACAAATTAAATTCAGATTCTGCAGGCAGCGGGAGGCCAGTTTGCCTTCCTTTCCACGTGCTTTAATAGATGGAAAGCAACGGAGTAACAATACAGGTCAATTTTATAAATAAGGCTTAAACAAAACCCAGAGAACGTTTTTCTTGTCGTATTAAAACAAATTCAAGCCCTCCCCTGTTACTCACCCGGAGTAACCTGTTGTTTCAGTCATACTGTCTCTACCAGAGTCAGCTGAAAGCAATACTCTGCAGAAAAGGTAAGGAAAACACCCCGCTATTTCCTGGAGCTCCGAAGAGGTTTTAAGGGGCTCTGCAGGGGGTTAAATACCCTCTCTCGCTTTGCGCGGCTCCCAAGATCAACAGTGGCCGCTCCCCTTCGCCCCGTCGGGTGCCCGAGGTTCCTCCCGGGGCCGCGCCGCGGTTTGTCCCAGATTGGCTGTTTTTGCAGGTGTGTCACCGTCCACCCCGATGTGCCGGGGCTGGTGACCCGCTTGCCCTCCGGCCGGCGGGGCGTCCCAGGGCGCGTGGCATGCACACGTGCGGGTCACGGGGCTGCCTGGCTCCGGCCACGGCTTCATGCCAAGGCTTTGTCCGAGTGTGCCGCCTCGGCACTCCTCACCGGGGCTGTGCTTGCCCTGGGCCACGGGGACCGAAACGGCGCTCCCGCCCTGGCCACCGGCTTCAGGCTGTGCCTTCCTCTGTCCCCGTTCAGTGCGAGTTTGACACCACCCTGCGTTGTTCTCCAGCGCACAAAGAAAGAGTTAATGCTGCAGCAAACCCCGTCGGGCTCTGCGGAGGGGTGGCTGTGCCGCAGCCCCTGGCTCTGCACCAGGGCCGGTGGCCACAGCAGCCCGGGCTGTGCCGTGGGTGCCGTGCAGGTGCAGATCAGCCCACGCCGGCAGAGCGGCTGCCCGGTGCCCGGTGCTCACCAGTGCTTGCAGGCTCTGGCATCCTCTGTCTGCAAGGTGTTGGCCTGCCATGGCGCTGGGAGGGACACGGGGCTTGGCGTGGGGTTGGGGATCCCCAGCCCTGGACAGCTGACCTGAGCGCGGGGTGGCCAGAGACTGGGACGCCTTTCACACTGGGAACCGTCATGGGCTCTCCTGGGTGGCCCAGAAAATCGAGACAAAAACCACAACAGGTAAACGGCAAGAGATGGATGTGCCCATTGCCACTCATCCCCACCTTTGCCCTTGTGGCTCTTAACACACAGAAGTGACTCGCAGTAGGTTTGTTTCAGTCGTTGCCCAAGCTGCGCAGAGGGCAGCACAGCCGATCACCACCGCGGTGCCCGGGTATGGCGGCGGACAGAGGCAGGCTGCTGCCCTTCAGAAACGGATCCCACAGTGGCCCGGAGGGGCTGACTTTATTCTCAGCAATGTCCAGACGATGATTTTTGTTGTCACTGCCCACACCCAGCTCTGTCTCAGCCCGGCGGTCCCGCCTCCCTCCCCCCCCCGCCTGTCCCCAGCACAGCCCTGCCCTCCGCTCCCTCGGCCACCTTCGCTGCCGCCATGCCCCATGCGGGGCCACTGCTCCTAAGGGCACCGGGGACTTTGCGCCGCAGCCCGTCCCATCAAAGCGCCCCGCGTCAGCCACGGGTGCCACAGCAGTGCCCGGTGACCATCCTCACACGCGATGGGCCCTGGCACAGCTCTGTGGGGCACACATGGCTGCCTGCTGTCCCCAGGGCCACGGCGCACACAGTGGGACGTTGGGCACGCCTCGGGGCGCTGGAGGAGCCCTGGGCAGCGGGCAGCAGTGCCGGGGCAGCCCCGACAGCCCCATGTGTGGCTCAGACCACAGAATAGCACAGGGGCAGCTCTGCACCGGCCGGGCCAGGTCGCCGCTGCCGGACACTGAGGAAGGCCACGGGCACTTGGCCTCTGCCTCGGCGCTTCTCGGGTTCATCTCACCAGCAACAAGCCGCCATTTGAGACAGATGTGCACAGCGTCCTGTGCTTTGGGAGCGGGAGGAGCCTGGAGATACTGGTCCTGCTGCCCATCCTGACACGCTGTGAGATATTGCCTGGGAAGATATTTTAGGCAGTGGCTGGAGGGGCAGAATCTGGCATGTGCCATTGGCTTCTAGGAATGGTAGATGAAAGCTCTGGTTAATTAGATAAGTGCTGGGTAATTAATTACTATGGTGAACTGAACCAATAAGCACGTCTGATTTCAGCGCAGGTTTTGTCAGCCAATGCTTTTGATCTGCTGCAGTCTCGGATCACTTTGCTGTGATTTACGTGATTGCCATCGCAGGTCCCCCAGTGGTTACGGCAAATGCTTGTCCTAGCAGTGAACTGCGGAGAGGAGTCAGCAGAAGCAGCCGGCGTGTCCTCGTTACACCCTCTGGGCACTCATAATTGCCTGCAGAAGTTTTTATTATTTTCTTTTTTTAGCGTTGGCAACTTTAGAAATTGGAGCCGTGTGAACACGGCAGGGCCTGGCCGGCCATGGGTTTTGCAGACTGAACTGCTCAGACCCGGGTGAGGGGCCGGGTGTCCTTGGGTGCTGGTGGGCTCCTGCGCCCAGGATCCCCGGCCCGGCCACCCCTCTGTGCCTGGCCAGGGGCGGCCCAACAGCCTGCGTTGCCTCCCGCAGTGGAGCTGTTGCCCCTCATGCCCCTGGTGCAGTAGCGGGTCCCCCGCCGTCCTGCCTTCACCTGGTCACTGGCCGTGCCTGCATCTCCGGGGCCTGGGCTGAGGGCTGGGCTCAGGCACGGGGCAACCGGCCGTCCAGAGTCGGCCCAAAATCAGCACGAAATGCTGGCACTGGCCGGGTTCTCCGCTATGGCAGGCAGGTCTTCCGCGTCCTGGGCTGCGGGGTGCTGTGTGAGGCGGGGTGATGGGGCTGCCGGGCTCACCTCCCTGCTCCTGCCCACCTCCCCTCCTGCTGCCACGGTGTCCCCCCTGGCTGTAGGACTGGTATTTAACAACGCTTTGGCTTCTACCAAAGTGATCTGTGAGGCCCCCTCCATCCAGATGCCGTTACCCTTTGTGCATGGTGGTTTTCTTCCTTGCCATTTAGCTGGTTAATAAGCGCTAAAAATAAATGAAAGAAACTCAGAGCATGATTGCCACCCATTCAAAGGTGCAGCTCTAGTTAAAAACATTTTGTGTGTGTCCTGCTTGCAGCACAGCATCCAGGCAGTAACGAGGTCCAGTTTCACTAACGGGGTGGGGAAGGCAATTGCTGTAACTGAGGCAGCCTTTTGCTGGACAAATATGTGTCCAAACCCTTAAAATTGCAAAACACTGTATAAAACCAAATAAGCATTACAAACCAGTGGTACAGAAAAGTGTAAATTGGATATCTTGCTCAAGACAGGGTCAGGATGGATCTGAGGAGGGATGGGAGCAGAGCCCTCATGGATATTTCAGACTTGCTGGAGCCGTACCAAAGTCAGGCTGGAATGATTTCTCTGCTCTGATGAAGTTCTCCCCTCCCTGGATGCTGTTAACGTATGCCTGCCAAGGATGACTTATTACTGACGCTCCACAGCACTCCTGAAGAATAAGAATCTGGAGTCTCTTTTTCCTTTTAGAGTACACCAGATTGCACCATGAGGTATAGAGAAAAAACTTTCCTTAGCGGTACACACACATCTTCCTCCTGCAGCCCTGAACTGCCTAAGTCACGCGGTGCAATTGCTGTATTTTTAAGCATAAAACTCAACGTTTCAGGCACCTGGCAGTGAATGCAGTGATTGTCATGCAGATCTTTACAGTTTTGTCCAATTAGCGTTACTTGATGTAGAGAATTCAATAGGGAGGTTTGCTGCTCACAAATGGCAGCTGTGAACACTGTGGGGAGGTGAGACCGCGGCTGAGGCTTCCCGCGGGTTCGTCAGCTTCCCTGGGCATGAGCTGGTTTGGTGGAGGGAAACGGGGTCCCTCTGCCCCGTGCCCACCTTCAGCATCCCTCGCTCCCAACAGAAGCACCTTCCCTGCCGGGGGCTCTGGCCCCGCGGGAGGCGCAGAGCGGGAGGGCGCCCCGTCTCCTGCCTGCGAGCGGCGAGCCGGGCTCTCCTCCCCACCGCCCGCAGGAGCGCGGAGGGGCTGAAGCTGGGGCAGGTACCCAGCCATCGTTACGAGGCTAATTTGGCATGCAGGGCCCGTATTATTGTTGATGGTGCACGAAGGAGAAGGAACAGCTTGTGCCTTGAGCCCAGATGAGTCCGTGGGATGAGTGGGCACAAAAATCACCTGCTTGGGAAGGGAGCGCAGCTGATAGGGGAGGAACGGCACGAGTCCCTCACCCCGCTCCATCGGTTTCCAACGGCTCAAACGCTGACCTACAGTCCACAGCCTCGAAGGGGTTGGGAGGAGGAGGGACCTTGGTCTCCCTCTGGCACGGTGGTGTCTCGGCTGCTGTGGAACGCCAGCTCTGCAGCGGGCTGAGCCCACCCATGGGCGCTCTGTGACCAGCAAGGCACGGCCAGGCAGGGGCTTCACGGGGGAGCGAGCAGTCAGCGACGCTGGAGGGAAAGGCAGGAGCTGTCTGAATGGCGGATGGACAGACGGACAGACAGATGTCGTCACGGGAGTGACCCTGCTGGCTCCGGGCCATACGCACTCCCCGGGCAGAGGCTGCTGCCTTGGTCTGCTACACGCAGCGCTTCTGTCTCTCCACCTTCTCCATGTTTCGTGGCAGTATTTTTGGGCACGCCTGGCAAGGTCTGCACCTGCGCAATTATAAGCTGTCTCTTGATTAGGTAATTTCCCAGAGCACGTGGAAAGCTTTTTAAGTTAAATATTTACTTATGAACTAAAAATAATATTTGTATGCACCCAGCTGCCATTCGCGACATCCTCACCTGCTGGTCAGTGAAACCCCGTCCCCGACCCACCGCAGCCCCCCGAGTGCTCGGCCCCGGGCACGGACCCCCCTGTGCCCTCGGTGTGGCTAAGGGGCAAGACTTTGGAGGGTGGTCCTGCTGAGTGAGCAGAGACAGACATCTGCTGGAGCCATAGCTCTGCCTGGAAAGGTAGGCTGAGAAATCGTGAGTAAGCAATGTTCCTGCTGGTGTTTGTCCCTGCTGTGTTCAAGGTAAAAGGAACAAGCATGTTCTTTTTAAGCAAACATGATTGCACCAAGGGAAACGGTTGACTTGTGCTTTTGGCTTCCCAGAACTGCCGTTGAAGGGAAGGACAGTGGCTGCACAGGTTTCGGCACCTGCCCCCATGCAGGTCTGCTTGCTGCCTGGCCC